TCCGTTCATTGGTCCATCCGTCCATCCATCCATTGGTCCATCCGTCCATCCGTCCATTGGTCCATCCGTCCATTGGTCCATCTGTTCATTGGTCCATCCGTCCATCCATCCATTGGTCCATCCGTCCATCCATCCATTGGTCCATCCGTCCATCCATCCATTGGTCCATCCGTCCAATGGTCCATCCATCCATTGGTCCATCCGTCCATTGGTCCATCCGTCCAATGGTCCATCCGTCCATTGGTCCATCCATCCATTGGTCCATCCGTCCATCCATCCATTGGTCCATCCGTCCATTGGTCCATCCGTTCATTGGTCCAATCCGTCCATCCATCCATTGGTCCATCCGTCCATCCATCCATTGGTCCATCCGTCCATTGGTCCATCCGTTCATTGGTCCATCCGTCCATCCATCCATTGGTCCATCCGTCCATCCATCCATTGGTCCATCCGTCCATCCGTCCATTGGTCCATCCGTTCATTGGTCCATCCGTCCATCCATCCATTGGTCCATCCGTCCATCCATCCATTGTCCATCCGTCCATTGGTCCATCTGTTCATTGGTCCATCCGTCCATCCATCCATTGGTCCATCCGTCCATCCATCCATTGGTCCATCCGTCCATCCATCCATTGGTCCATCCGTCCAATGGTCCATCCATCCATTGTCCATCCGTCCATTGGTTTCATCCGTCCAATGGTCCATCCGTCCATTGGTCCATCCATCCATTGTCCATCCGTCCATCCATCCATTGGTCCATCCGTCCATTGGTCCATCCGTTCATTGGTCCATCCGTCCATCCATCCTTGGTCCCATCCGTCCATCCATCCATTGGTCCATCCGTCCATCCATCCATTGGTCCATCCGTCCATCCATCCATTGGTCCATCCGTCCATCCGTCCATTGGTCCATCCTCCATCCATCCATTGGTCCATCCGTCCATCCATCCTTGGTCCATCGTCCATCCATCCATTGGTCCATCCGTCCAATGGTCATCCATCCATTGGTCCATCCGTCCAATGGTCCATCCGTCCATTGGTCCATCCATCCATTGGTCCATCCGTCCATCCATCCATTGGTCCATCCGTCCATTGTCCATCCGTTCATTGGTCCATCCGTCCATCCATCCATTGGTCCATCCGTTCATTGGTCCATCCGTCCATCCATCCATTGGTCCATCCGTCCATCCATCCATTGGTCCATCCTCAATGGTCCATCCATCCATTGTCCATCCGTCCAATGGTCCATCCGTCCATTGGTCCATCCATCCATTGGTCCATCCGTCCATCCATCCATTGGTCCATCCGTCCATTGGTCCATCCGTTCATTGGTCCATCCGTCCATCCATCCATTGGTCCATCCATCCATTGGTCCATCCGTCCATCCATCCATTGGTCCATCCGTCCATCCATCCATTGGTCCATCCGTCCATCCATCCATTGGTCCATCCGTCCATCCATCCATTGGTCCATCCGTCCATCCATCCATTGGTCCATCCGTCCACACCCTCATTCATGGGATCAGGAGGTTCTGATGCCTCTCCAGCCGTCAGAAGGCAGGAGGCGAGGTCAGCCTGGACAGACTGGTCAAACTGGACAGTCTGGACAGACTGGTCAGTCTGGTCACCCTGGACAGACTGGTCAGCCTGAACAGACTGTCACCCGGACAGACTAATTTTTCTATTTGAACACCTTTTTGTCCTCTTGAGTTTGGTCCCTCACACCTGGGTAAAATCAAACATATTCTGAATAACAAATCACTTCAGATTCTTTATAACTCTCTGATTTTGACATATTTACATGTCGTTCAGTGATGTGAGGAATTCATTACTAAAACTCTTTACAGCCATTCAGTATCCTGCAGAACCGAACCGTAAGAATCATCCATAATGTTTACTACGAGCACACAAACCTGTTAGTATGAACATCTAGAATTCTTTATTTTGAAGAGCTGGTGGGATTAAAATGGCTGAAATAATGTTTAAGGAATCTAATAAACTGCTGGCTGAGCTCACAGAGAGCACGTTTTATCACGAGGAGGATGATGAGGAGGACAGTTTATCAACAAGAGATTTTAAATTACAATTCATGGGGTAAAATTATGGAACAAGTTAAATGAGAAGCTAAAACATGAAAATTTAATACAATTTAAGAGGAATATAAGGAGTCATTTTCACAAGCTAGAAATATGGGTGAGAGTTGGCACTAATGTGTCTCTGTAAACTGAGGCTAATGCATATGAATGGGTGGGTAAATACTTAGACATGGAAACCCAGATAAAATGGAAATTAATTAACATGTCATTTTCTTAAACTGTTTGATTTAATAATGTGGGTCCATTTAAATACATAGGATGAGTTTATATGGGGTCAGAGTTCATAAGTTCTAACTTCTTCCTACTCCGTTTCAAGCATGTTAAGATTATTGTAGTAGAAAAATGGGTTTTTAGGATTTCTCGTATGATTTTATTCTTCTATCATCTTCAAAAATAAAATGCTACTTGCTATCTCAAGGCCAGCATAGATGACTATTCCTGTCATTTGCCAACGTCGGCCTATCATTATTCAGACAGCTTCAGATTGGGTGTGGCCTCCTGCTACAAGAAAGAAGCCACTGCTTGGTGCGCGCTGGTCTTAATTTTGGCCCTAATGCCATGCCATAAAACAAAGTCAAACATGTGTAGTTCCTGATTGAACCAGTTGGTGGCAGCTTTTCTCAAATAACTAATGAAGTAGCTTCTCACTAACTCGCTTTTCTTGGTTTGTCTCCAGGCCAACGGCGTTATCTTGGATCCTCGGCTCATAAAACAGGAGAATATTTCCAGACCGGACCAGGAGGAACCAGAACCTCCACAGATCAAAGAGGAAGAGATGAGTCCACGCCACAGTCAGGCCGCAAACTGAACTGAACCAGGAGACCAAGGCCGCTATTTTGACCTCTGCTAACGAGGACAAGACCAAAGTGAGTCCAAACCAAACCGGAACCAGCTCAGAAGAACCATCAGTGAAGCAGACACCTCACTCGTCTCGGAGGTCAGAGAGACACGGAATCAGATCGGAAACCTTTGCAGTGTTCACACTGTGGGAAACATTTGTGTCGAGCCAACTGATGGCTCACACACGAGTTCACACCGGAGAGAAACCGTTTGTTTGTAAAATGTGTGGGAACAGATTCAGAACCAACGATTGCTTAAAGAGACATGTGCAAATCCACACAGGTGAGAAACCTTGGATTTGTGACATCTGTGGGAAAAGATTCAGTCGGAGCTGCTACTCATCAGTTCACACCAGAACCCACAGCGGAGAGAAACCGTATGACTGTGAGGCATGTGGGAAAAGTTTCCGCAGCAACTCTGCCTTGCGCAGTCACAGCAGCGTCCACACGGCAGAGAGAACACACGCGTGTGAAGAATGTGGGAAAAGGTTCGGACGGAAGGGAACATTGGACAAACACAGGAGAACCCACACCGGAGAGAAACCGTATTTCTGTGAGACGTGTGGAAAACTTTTCAGAGACAGCTACACGTTATCGCAGCACGTAAAAATCCATCCCAGGAGTTGCCCATGGTGACCGCTGAGAAGTGTCACGAAACTTTCAAACTCAACACTGATACCAAGAAATGAACCATTTAAAAAACTGTCTTAGTTTATTATAAACACTGGCTTGTTTCTTGTTCTCTGGGCTGTCAGCAGCTATGGACACTAAATCCAGACAAGTATTTGAAAATCAGAATTTGTAGTTGTGAATTAGATTTTGCAGAATTGTAGAATAAAATGTCTGAACATTTCACTAATTAGAACCCAGAGAAACTAATTAGTTTAGATCAACATCGTCAGAACAAGATCCAGAGAAACTGACTTTATAAATCAGACTACAGGATTATCGTTTCTTCTTTTGCTCTTTCATTTCTTTTATTGTATTTCCTTTTAATTCATGTAAAGCATTTTGAATTGCCTTGTTGCTGAATATGCTTTATCTATAAAATGACCTTACATGAACCATCTTGGTGAGCTCACTTCTGCTAATCTTCTAACAGCACAGCTACCATTTAGCTTAGCACTAATTGCTAACTTTAAAACTTTGATGCGCTTGGCTTCCCCTACAATACTTCCAGATAAATTTTGAAGTTGATGTGGCTGTTTTGTAAACTTTCAGTTGAATAAAGTTTGAGGTCTGTTGGTCAAACATTTATTTTGATTATTTTGAAGTGAGTGAAGATTTTTACGCAGCATTTCCATTTCCTGTCATCAAGTTTTCACATTCCCCAAAAACCATTTCAAACGAGAAACATTCAGGAACAAAATGAGTGATGAACATAAATACAGTATCAAAGGGCTTGATAGAATATGTAATGTAAAAATTAAACTGGAGCTGGAGGGTTGTAGGACAGATATTGTAAATATTTTCCGTAATAAAATGTTTAGTTCTGCATCACTAAGGTCACATTTTCCAGTCCAAATCAAACAGCCTGATTTGCAAAATACATTTTTGTTCCTGAAATCTTCTCCACCTGTGATGCTGTGCATTAAGTACCTTGTTGGTGTTGTGCTGTAGCATTAGCGTCTGCTAACTATTGCGTTAGCATAGCGTCTTAGCGTTAGAGGAACTAAAGTGATGGCTCTGGGTTAGTCGGCGGTGGCTGGATGAATCCATTCACTGATTTTCTGTTTCATATGAGCAATAAAAACCCAACAGAACATTTCTATTTTGAATTTGTTTATGATTATAAGGCCACTGTGGACTGTGCAGAAGTTGAAAGGAGAACAGAAATGAACCGACACCAGAACCCAGTGATACCCGTCCCGTTCAGATCCTCTCCTCCAGGAGTAAAAGTCTCAGTCTTTCTGACCCAAACTGCCGTTTATGGATCAGAACCAGGCTGGAGTGTCGAAGGCCACGTCCCATCTACGTGATAACTCAGGCGTCTCTGACGCAACCTGGAGCTTCAAGCAAACTAACATCAAATGATATGAAGAATAAAAACTTCTTCTTTGGTTTCTTCTGCCAAACTCAGAGGAAATGTTTTCACACAATCAGCCGTCGGAGTGAAGAAAATGCAGGAATTCATTGATCATCCACAGGAAACGGGGAAGAACAGAAACTGAAGCAGTGAATCTGAAACAGGCCCGGTCAGTGAATCAGCTGATCAGAAAACGCTCCAGCAGCTTCCTCCTCTAAACGCTCTATGCTCTAAGCTCTACGTGAAGAGAAAAGACGTGATTCTAAGGCCTCTCGGTTTATACAGCGGCGACAGCGCCTGACACACAAACTCACAGAGTCCAACCGGGTTCCTCCTCTCTGCAGCTCCAGACGACCGCAGGAGCCACAAGGGGGAGCTATCGCTTCATTCTACTAGAAATCACACCAACAAGATTATTTCACAGCAAGTTTCTCCCGGAGTTTAGCTGCAAATATCTGTGCTGCAGCTTTTTCTGCTGCAGGATTCTGTGCTGCAGCAGCTTTCTGTGCTGCAGTGGGTCTCTGTGCTGCAGCAGCTTTCTGTGCTGCAGCGGGTTTCGGCGCAGGCGGGTGCAGGCCGGACTCCGTCCCAATGTTGACGGTGATGTTGGTGTAGAGAGGCAGGTAGTCCCTGGAGATGACCTCGTACTCCACCGTGTTCATGCCGTCCATCTTCCAGGTCTGACGCGTCTTCGCCAACATGTTGAACCTGAACAGACGCAAAGTTAGAGACGCAAACAGCAAAACATTTTCAATTAAAATGATGTAATAAACAAACATATCCTTCAGTTTCTTCCGTTTCAAGAATCTGTGATCATTCATTGAACTTCTTTAGAAATATGGATTGTGGATGCTAATATTAGCATTAGCAATATGTTTAGCACTGAGATGTTATGTTAGCTTCTGGAGCTAACATAGCTTGAATAGGCTAACTCCTTCTAGCACAACTTGAACAACAATATTTTTTCCGGGTCATTGATGAAGCAGAAATTAAGCCCAGAAGCCGAGAGCAGCAGCTCTGTCCTCAGTTAGCTTGTCCGTCAGATTTATGGTTGTACCAGAAACAAAACACAAAAGTTCTGGCACTTGCATGTATTAAACTTAGAAACGCAAGTGTGCTAAAAATATATTTTTAATATGCCAAAATCTATGTAATTGATTATTCAAAATTAACTTTAACATATATTTTGTCTATTTCTAACTAAATTTTGTTTGACTAATTTGACTTTGTGTGGATAATAAGTATTAACATAAAATATGACAGAACCAACTCCAAAATACACTAGCAGAGGGGAGCCCAAAGTGGGTCCTGCAGGCCCGGCGTCACCCTGCAGGTCCAACGTCAACCTGCAGGCCCAACGTCAACCTGCAGGTCCAACGTCAACCTGCAGGCCCAACGTCACCCCGCAGGCCCGGCGTCACCCCGCAGGCCCGGCGTCACCCCGCAGGCCCGGCGTCACCCCGCAGGCCCGGCGTCACCCCGCAGGCCCGGCGTCACCCCAGGCCCAACGTCACCCCGCAGGCCCAACGTCACCCCGCAGGCCCGGCGTCACCCCGCAGGCCCGGCGTCACCCCCGCAGGCCCAACGTCACCCCGCAGGCCCGGCGTCACCCCGCAGGCCCGGCGTCACCCTGCAGGTTTTAGTTTTCTCTCAGTACCAATAACCTTTTCAGCAGGTAAATGTTCTTCTTAGGCCTCTAATGAGCCTCATTGGATCAGGTGCGTTAAACCAGAGAGAAGTAAAACATGCAGGATGCCGGTCCTCCAGGACCCACTTTGGGCACCCCTGCACTAGCAGTTAGCAGCTAAGCTAGCTCTGCAACTGGCATGCTAAATGCTAACAGAACTTTTGTTTTTATCTTAAAACATTGTCTACATAAAATATAAAATCTTAAAAGAATCATAATTTGGTGAAAATGATCAACCTGGAAATAAAACTCTTTCCTGCTTGTCCACTTCTTCATGTGTCTGTGATGACGGGAAAAAGATGCACCGCCACCCTCTGGTGTAACTCAGTATTACACCCTAATTTAATTCCCCTTTACCTCCTGTTAGTTCTGTTAAATTACCAGTAAAGCCAAATATTAACTAATATGCCAAATGCAGGATTTATGTTAATGTGCATGTAAAGGCTGGTTGCTTTGACTAGACCATGGACTCCAGGCTGTGGTGCGGTTGGTCTCTACCTCTTGGGGTTCACGTCGTTGCCCTTGTCCAGCTTGTGTTTGATCATTTTGTAGCGGCCGACTTTCAGAGACGGACGGCTGATGAACATCCCTGCCAGAGACACCCTGAGGAGGGAGAGCAGAAAGTCAACAGAAGAAGGTCAAAGGTCGGTCGTAAAGCATCGGAAAGGGGCTGACCTGACGCCGATGTCGTCGTCCTCGCCGCCCCAGCCCCAGTAGTTGTTGGGGAAGCCGTTCATCTTCAGGTAGTGCAGCGGTGACAGCGCCGACACGCCTCCAAAGTACATTTTGTACGGAAGCCTGGAGGGGACAAGCAGCAGAGACAGTGTGAGTCTACCAGCAGGGGGCGCCGCGAACTCTAACCGACGCTGCAGCGGCGCACTTGTAGCCGAACTTGTCCATGGCGACGGCGGCGTGCTTGGGGTTGGCGTCGCAGACGTAGAGGTTGCGGTCGTCCTCGGGGATGAGGTCGACGTCGTGGAAGAAGAGGCAGTCCCAGTCTTCCTCCCTCATCGCCTCCCGGAAGCCGACGTTCATCAGCTTGGCCCGGTTGAAGGTGTAATTCTCCGCCTGCGGCGCAAAAACACCCAGAAAACCCAGAACTTTGAAGAGAAAACATTACGAGATGCGCTGCTAAATAATGAACTAAACCACTTCTACCAACATAAATAAACACATTTTTGTAGAAAACGCATATAAATTAATTAAACAGAAAATGAATGACCAGTTTCTCATGTTTTGGGTTTTTAAGAGAAGTAAAACTTGCTTTTGAGAAAAAGTAGGTCAATATTTGTAGTTGCATTTAACCCGAAATTAAGATCAATCCAAAAAACTCTAATGGTAATTTATTTATTTATACATAAATTTTTAAAGTGTTTATTTGTAATATTTGTATAATGTTTATTTATTTCCAGGATGAATCCAGGAAAGAATTAAAAACGATTAGATTTAATAAAGAGAAACGATTTTCATAATAATTCATATTTTCCTGTTTACGGTTGATTTTGTGATCCTGTTTTCACCAGTAGACTGAACTGGTTTCCAGTCTGATGCTTTCAGAACCAGACTGGAGACATTCGGTATGGGTCGGTACCGAGTCAGTACCGCTCTTCCATGTCCAATTACAGAAAAAAATTTAAATTATTATTTTTTCTTATTAAAAGAGAATAATCTGGCAGTCATGCAGAGCAGCCAGCAGAGGGAGCAGCAGAGCCGATGGCTCTGGTTCTGGCAGGTTCTGCCAGGTTTTGCCGGGTTCTGCCAGGTTCTGCCAGGTTTTGCCGGGTTCTGCCAGGTTTTGCCGGTTCTGCCGGGTTTTGCCGGGTTCTGCCGGGTTCTGCGGGTCTCACCTGGTGGATGACGTAGATGCCGTAGCTGAGCTGCTGCCGCTGCAGGAACGGGTGCAGGTAGTAGAGCAGGAACTTGAGGTGATGCTCGCGGTGGCGGTGCGGGATGATGATGGCGGTCCGGTGGCGGGCCTCGCAGTCTGGCGGCCGGTACCGCCCCCCACTCACCACCAAAGGGTTCTTCCTCTGGACCTGGGCCAGGGTCAGGCCGGACGGGAAGCTGACATGGATCGGTCCGCCTGCGGACACAAAACAGGTTCTGGTTTACTGGACCGGAGGCAGAACCACAGAGCAGCATGGAGGCGGGCGGCGCATCAGCGGTCGCAGGTTTGATAACTTAAAGAATGGAGAAACAGCCACTGTTTTCTACCTGAACCACGATGAAACTGGAGTCGTCTAATTCTGTGATTGATGGGTTCAGCAGCATAACCTTCATATTTTATGTTTTAGTGCCGAAAAGGCAACAATTAAACACCAGAACCGAACAGAACCATCATTTCTGGTTCTGGTTCCGTCTCTGCGGTGGAACCAGCAGCTGCTGCGGCGGTGAACTCAGGCGACAGATTCATCCTCCGACTTTCACCGAGATAATTAATCCCAAATCCTCAAGCGGCCCGGCAGCGCCGCGCTCATCAAGCTGGACCCGCTAAATTAGCGGCGCTGTGCCTTTAAGCGTCGGCACGGCGACGGGCTTACATAAGCCCTGATCTCATGATAGCATGAAGATGCAAAGCAGGAAACAGGAGAAGGAGAGGGATGAAGAGAGAGGGATGAAGAGAGAGGGGTGAAGAGAGGGATGAAGAGAGGGATGAAGAGAGAGAGAGAGGGATGAAGAGAGAGGGATGAAGAGAGGGATGAAGAGAGAGGGATGAAGAGAGAGGGATGAAGAGAGGGATGAAGAGAGAGGGATGAAGAGAGAGGGATGAAGAGAGGGATGAGAGGAGGGATGAAGAGAGAGGGATGAAGAGAGAGGGATGAAGAGAGAGGGATGAAGAGAGGGATGAAGAGAGAGGGATGAAGAGAGAGGGATGAAGAGAGAGGGATGAAGAGAGGGTGAAGAGCCCCGCGGGCGCCGCCGCTCCTCTGTGTTCTGTTGGGCCAGAACACAGAGGTTCTGACCCAACAGAACCTTCAGGCCTGCAGGATCAACATTACAACATGGCTGCTGGACGGGAAATATCACAATAATAATAATAATAATAATAATATTAGGTGGAACTTGGTGAGACGAAGGCAGAAAATGTTCTGATCCGAATCACTTTGTGTTCTTCTCCAGAACGGCAGCGATGATTTGCCGGGTTCTGGCGGGTTCTGCCGGGTTCTGGTGGGTTCTGCCAGGTTCTGGCGGGTTCTGCTGGGTTCTGGCGGGTTCTGCTGGGTTCTGCCGGGTTCTGGACTCACCGATGAGCGGGGACACCTTGGGGCAGTACGGCATGTCGTCGGCGTGGCCGTGTCCCCGGGACAGGTTGGACAGGTTGGCGTAGACGTCGCCCAGCGCGGCGCCGGTGCGGTTCCGGACCGGGCCGGCCGCCTCGCCTTTACGGAAGATCCGGATGAAGTAGCTGACCCGTTTGTGGTAGCCTTCCCGGGACAGCAGCGCCATGACGACCAGCTGGATGCCCAGGAACATGAACAGGAAGCGCCACTTGGACTGCAGGGTAACCATGGCGACAGCTGGACCAACGACGCGGTTCTGAAGGGTCCAGATGAGGACGTGAGGAGAAACGGATCGGTTCACGGACCGAAGGCACTTCTGGCAGGGGGGGGGGGAAGCGTCCCCCCCAGACAGGAAACAGGAAGTATCAATCGGCGGGACAGGAAACGAGCGCCTGGCGATCCTTCAGCTCATCGCCGCTGCAGGTCAGCAGCGGGCCGACCTCTGCGACCTGTGGGGGTCCGGCTCGCCGTGGGGTGAAGGCCTGGCCCGCGGGCGGCCCGGCCCGCTCATTCTGCTGCCGTCGGCTGATTCTGCTGCCGCCCCCCTGTCATGGCCCCCGCGGGCCGCCGCCGGAACAAAGGGAGCGAGGATTACGGCCTGTTCTGGAACAGCGATGCTGGCCCGTCGCAACCGGGTTCTGGAAAACAACAGAGGAAGAAAAGGCGTCAACAGACCGAGCGAGAACGACCTCTGACCTCTGCTGCAGCGTCAGAAACAAACCCATTAATTAGTCGGTTAAAGCAGCCGGCCAGGCGCGGTAATCCTAATCCTAATCCCACTGAAGGCGAGCAGTGGGATCAGGCTGCACCTGATCTGGCAGAGGAGGAACGACATCAAAACAAAATCTGAGGGAAAAACTGAAGGAAACGTTGATCACAGATCATTTCCACTCAAAAGAAAAAAAACACATTTTTCTCTGACTTTAAAATTATTTTGTCATTTATGAGCAAAGATGATTTGTTGCTCCAAGTCAGATGTATGTTTTAAATTCTGAGGGAACGAACATAAAGCCCAGGGAACGGATCTGGAGTCGGTTTGTTTGGGCTCAAATGAACCTTCATCATCGGCTCTTAGGGAAGTCTCAGGGGAATCTGCATTAGCGGCTCGTCTGCATCACTTCCCTTCATGTCAATAAGTGGGAATACGAACAGCTGATCGGCGCTCCTTGACGATCTGCAGATCATCCGGTTCTCCCAGGAGGAGATGTTTTGGGTCAAACAGGAAGTTCCCGCTGCAGATGATCCATCAGAACCGGCGGTCGGCCCAGGAGACCCAGGCAGAGCTGCAGAAGCTCAGAGCATCAGCGGCGAATATTTATCCTGTTTATCAGGACAACCTGAACCACGGGCCTGCTCAGCAGCGCCCCCGGTGGCTGTCAGATCGGTGAGGAAACGCTTCGCAAAGCAGAACATCAGGACGGGTTCACGGCACAGCAGCAGCAGGTGATCCGCTTTAAATTCAGGACAAAATTTATTCAGACAGAATTGCTACCCACTGTTGGAAAACGTTCAGCAGTTCAATCGGATTTGATTTTTGACAAACGATTTGATTCGACAAAAGAAGATGGCAGTTTGTTCCAACAACACAAGTTCCCACATTTGTTGCTAATCACTTTACTGAAAAAAAAAACAAAAACAAAAAAAAAAAAATTTGTCAATAGTCGTTTTTCTGTATCAAAAGAAAAAATAGTCTGTTGCCACATTTAGCAACTTTTATTCTTTTTATTCTTAAACGACTATGAACAAATTCAGTGACTATTCAAAGTACAAGAGGCCTGTGAGCTCCACCTGGCCACGCCCCTCAATGCCTCCTGGCTCCGCCCACTTTGGAGTTTTTCCACCAAATCCCAGAGAATCAATGGACTATTGACAACAAGAAGACAGTATGAGTATAAATTATTTTAAAATTGGCCGGATGTTAAATAGTGACTGATTTTTCCAGATGGAAATAAACTGACGTGGATTGTTTTTCTGTCCCTGTAATCTGTTTTGTCGCCGCCGCAGCGAATGCTTTCAGTGTGCAGGGCATCAATATTGCATCTGCTGCAGACATAAGAGAGAAAGACCGCCATGAAGTTAGCGTGAGGTTGAGAGGAAGCTGGCGGTCATCAACAGGAGGTAAACTCATTAGTCTGAATGCGTTAACCCATGACATGCTGGAAGCATCTGTAATGATGACTGATTGAACATTATGAGTCATTATGAGCCGAGCTGCATTTCCTCCTGATGCATCATGAAGCCGACTCCTCAGACTCGAAGAGATCAGCAGAAACTCCACCAGGTTTCTGACTTTGTGGCTAATTTTAGCTCTTAAACTGACGTTTGCTCACTGAATGGAGTAACTTAATGTCAGTCTACATACTACTGATGGCATTCATGTTAGCACTTTAGCTAACATGAGCATTTAATCTAATTTTAGCAATGTTTAAGATAACATACTACATTCTACAGTGAGCATATTATCTAAAAAAGCATTTTAGCTGTTAGCCAACATGCTACAATTAGCTCATTATCTCACATTAGCATTTTAGCTCATTTTGCTTAAGAAACTGTTGTTTCCAACATCAGATATTATCCTACTGATAGTCCACATGCTAATTCTAGCTTTGTATTCATCAGCTACACTTGAGCTAATTCTAACATTAACAAATTGAATTAAGCTAATGTTATCCAACACGCTAGCATGAGTCAATGTGACACAGTTAGCATGTTGTCCAATTTTAAATTAAAAGCTTAAACTTACATCCTGACTAGAGTAATTTAATGCATGTCAAACATGCTCATGTTAGCCAACATGCTATAGGAAGTATTTTAGCTAGCTTTAACTTTTCAGCTCATTTTACCTTATAAGTGCTGTTTCCACACTTATGAACATGGGCGTTAGCAACCTTTAGCATCGTAGCTAAACATTTTAGCTCATCAAAACAGACCGTTCTTATTGATGTTTTGCTCATTACGCTCCTCAGCAGATGGTTTAGCTTTGTACGCAGAGTTCTGCTCTGGTTTCTAATACTTGTCGCCTTCTCATAATTTATGACATTCCTGTAATTTACAGCACAAACATTCAGCTTTCGGCTGTGTTTAAAGCCCAAGTTCTTAAAAACTTCAGTGAAATTCCTTGTTGAGCCTCAGTCCAAGTCAACAAAGCTGGTTCTGATTGTATGCGGGTTGACCCGAGCCAGATGTTCCACACACAGCTGGTTCGGATCAGAACCAGTGAGGCAGCAAACAAAATGTCCCACCAGAAGCTGGAAGAACCTCATTTCTGAAATGTCTACATGGAGAAAAAAGCTTCAACCACCAATGACCTTCACCCTCTGACCCCTGAGGATCTGCTGAAGGCAGTCCAGAATCTGAGCCAGGAATCCGGGCCAGGTTTTCAGGGAAACCGTCAGCAGGAAGTCTGCTGCTGGGAACGCCTCCTAAATGGCAGGAAGTGGTTTCCATGGAAACAGAGGCATTCAGGATCAGATCAATCCTGTGAAGTCCAGATCAATCTTGATATCTGGAATCGTTTAAGAAACTGATCAAAACACGACGGATTGAAATATTAGTTCATGACTTCACTAAAGGGTTCATTTGCTCGAATGCATCAAAGCCGAAATATTCATCCATTCATCGACCAAAAGTTTAGTTTTATTTTATTCTAATTACTAGCAATTAGTAATAGACTAATTACTAGTTTTTATTAGTCATAGTCATAGTTTTAGTTTTAGGCGCAGAATTTAAAAAAACGGTAAAAGTTGTTACGTTTACATCGTTTGGATGATGAATACTAACAGAAGATAACGTCTTCTGAAGATGGACTCAATTTTTAACATAAACTGACTGGAGTTTTATCCCAACTTTCACCATTTTGTGTCCAGGAGGAGAAAGTGCCGCCGAAATTTACCAACAGCGGACGTAAACTGTTTGTATGGGGAAAAATAAATGTCACATTAATTCAAAAGGCCAATAAACAGATATTTCTATAATTTCAGCATATTATATTATAGTTCCAGTTATTTAGTTTTTCCCCATTAAAATTTGTATGTATTTCAATTAACAAAAATGTTTTCTAAGTTTCAGTTTTTATTTTGTTCTTTTTAGTTAATGATAACAACATTGATCCATATATTGATTCATCAGTTGATTGTGTTTTTAATCAGTTTCTAAAATGAAACCTGATCAGGGCTGATGAACACAACGCAGCTAACTTTTTATTTCTTATCCCAACATGTTGATAATTTTGTGTTGAAAGTGATTCCATACATCAGGTCCCCTCCAGTCATCTCTGACCTCTGACCCATAGGGAGCCCGGAGAGGTTTGGGGGTTGCAGGGTGTGAAATCTTTAACGCGTTAGTGCACGAGCACAGAGAGTCATTAAACGATGCAGTTGGACTGGAAAGATTTTTGAAAACAAAACCAACTTCCTGCTGGAGGTGTGAATATTTCCTCCACCTTTCCAAGCATCTTTATGACTCACATTTTAGGCTGCAGCTCCACCATACATGACATCTGCTGCTCTACGCGACGGTGCGTTCAATAACAAATGGGAAATCCAAGGTCAGGTGTTCCATGTTATTGTCTGATTGCTTTGATTTAATCTACAGTTCATCATGAAATAATAATCCAGGCATCCTCGTCCTTCAGATGATGTGATGGAGCCAGGATGAAAGCAAAGTTATGTTTTTCTGATTCAAAATTCATTCATGCATTGAAATCATTCAAATGCAAATTATCGTTACAATTTAAAATGTTTGATTTTTCTTTCAAATTTTTTTTCCATAACTTATTTTTTAAGTTTTAAATACTTTTTTATGTCTTAAATTAACTTTTTAGTTTCTAAATATGTTATTTTTGTCTGTTAAGATTATTCAGATTCTATTTTTTCTGCTTTAGGATTATTTATTTGATTTTTTTCCGGTCATTGTTTCAATTCAGTTTTTCTATTTCATATGACTTCTCTTCAAGATGTTGTGTTTCAAATATTTAAAAAATCAAAATTAAATCAAAATAATTCCCTGATGTAGCTCCGTAGAGCCAGCCGTGGGGTCAGCAGGCATCACCAGCTTTTTCTGGGAAAGCTGAACAGACGCTGAACGTCGTTCTCAGTCCAACAATCAGCCAGGAACAACGCGGCGGCATGGCGACGCCTGCCTCGTCACGGAAACACCAGGTCTGCCGCCGCCTCCAGCCGGTCGCTCTGATGACTTTTCCACCCAGCAGGTGAGGTCCCGCCCCCACCAGGTACCAAGGCTTCCACGGCAACGGGGAAGCCTGAAGGGAGCAAACGATCCACAACAAAACCAGAGCAACAGGCAGAACCCAGCGGTTCTGTTTGAGATGCAAACGAGGAGATGCGACAGATTAATATGGATTCATTATCGTTTTAAACTCCAAACACAGATTTGGGCCCAGCAGATCGACGACTCGTTGTTTTTAAAAAATAAAACACATTTAGTCCCAAAAGCAAACATTAAACGCCTGGAGCAGAAATTATAAAATAAATCTTTGTGGTTTGATATCAGACAGGTTAATAAAATAAACTAGTTCATCCAAAGTTTAAAATTTTAGTAAATCTTTTTGTCTTTCTTTGTTAAATAAAACCATTCTGAGAGGAACCTTTTATTTGAGTGTTTCTGGTACACCCATTTCTCTGTTGCACAAACAAAGCGACTCCTCTTGACCCACTAGAGCTGCAAAAAGCATCTGACTGGAAAATACAGCTGCACTTTCCTCCAATCTGATGACTGAATAACTGATTAAAAACAATACATATATTTGTTCTTCAGCTCATGTCTATTCTACAATTTAGCAAAATTATACAATAATTTTTAAGTTAAAATTGTTCTCAATTTGTGAATATATATTGATTATAATACTATTACCTCTATTAAACATCTTAATCAGCCTTTTCCGGGATAAAAAACATCTAAAAGCGTGTGGGATTCTGGCATCCACTGCAGAAAAAGGACCAGGAAGAGACAGACATCTTGTTCCAGATGTCAGAAAGTTTACGGTGAAACATCCCATCGGGTTAAAACTGTGGTGAAGCTGCTGCTCTACAAGCTGCATGTAGAAACTGGGACGATCGTTTTGTAAACTGCTGCAACCTCTTAAATCTTACATGTTTTTTGTATTTTGACAAAAGGTCAACTAAAGTACATTTTTCTAAATTCTGAACTTCTTATCCGTGGTTGTGACCCGTTTTTAGTTTCCTCTGTTTTTGCACCATGGCATAAAAGCCACCAAGATGAAAGAAGACTTTTTTCAGCAAAAAATGCTAAATCATTTTATTGTTTGTTGTTTTGTTTTAACTCACTGAGCAAAAAATCCAAATGTATTTTGATTTAAAAAATAAATAAAAATACATTTTAACTACCTTTTATTCTAAATAAAAGGTAGAAAAAGGGTCTCAAAGTTGCAGTTTCCTAACTTGTCAGTCAAGATATTAATTTTAGTTAATAGGAGCAGCAGGAGGAGGAACAGAAGGAGCAGCAGCAGCAGGAGGCCCCCGGGGCCCTTTGTCTGGACCAGAACAGTGAAATGCCTCCGATTCGATGAATCCCGTTCCAGCCGTAAATCGGCTCTTCCAGTCGGAACCAACGGGCCCTGAAAGCGTCTCAGTGGACCCAACTCAGCTGCTGGTGAAACAAAGAGTTTCCGGTGATGATTAAAGTCGCAGCGAAACTTTTCTGTGTTCCTCTTTGAGTTTAAGTGGATGGGAGGAACAAACTGACGCGGTGAAATGTCCGCTGGCTCAAAGGTGAAGCTGAAACCCGCTGAGGCGTTCAGGTGCCCTCGGATCACCCAACTCCAGAACCCGCGTTACAACAGCAGCGGTTCTGCTCCCGGTTCGGACAGCAGCTAACAAGTCCAAACATCTCCCAGCAAACACTAGCAGAACCAGGTCCACCCCATGGCAGCCGTGGCCCGGTTCCGGCAGCGGAACCAACTCTTTAGCCCCGGCTCGGGTCGCCAGATGTGGGGAAACCGAGACGAAGCGAGCTAACAACCGTTAGCTCCTCACTAGCTCGCTGGCGAGCGCGACCATAACAACAGTAAAAAACTTCATTATTTAACTTCCTTCCTTTGTGATAACAATGAAACTCACCGAGATGAGGCCTGGGTACCGGACGACGCGTCCCGCAGTCGCTCCGCCGCGTTTCTGACGTGTTTGTGGAGCCGAGGCGGTCTGAGGAGGTTCCCTCCCCTCCACCACAGTCCACCGCCCACAACAGCCGGCGGAGGGGCGACGGTTCAGCTGCCCCGCAAAGTACGGGACGACCGAGGTGCCAAAACCACGCGGGGGAAGATTCACTCCACCGCGACAAAATACACTCAGATTTTCACTATAAGAGTCAAAGAAAGAAAATATTTAGTCTAAATAGTTAAAATTACTGAGGTGCCAAAAGTAGTAAAGATTCTCTCTGCTGCAATAAAAAATACAGAAGTATTTAATACATATACTTAGTTTATTTAATTCCACATTTAAACATTTACAAACTGAAATAAATTTCGTTGCAAGGCTCTAATAATAAATAAATAATAATAAAAGTGTCAATGTGAAAACATACAATAAAAGATGAAACTAATGGGAGTTTATCATCCTTATGGCCTCAGGGATAAAGTTCTGCATTTGAAGCTGATGAATCTTTTTCCAGAGGGCAGCAGGAAGAAACGACCCTGCAGAGGGTGGAAGTGTCTTTGCATAATCGCCGAGTCGCTCCCAGTCCAGGCAGCTACTGGAGCAACTGGGAGCTACTGGAGCGACTGGGAGCTACTGGAGCGACTGGGAGCTACTGGAGCGACTGGGAGCTACTGGAGCCACTGGGAGCTACTGGAGCAACTGGGAGCCAGTGGAGCTACTGGGAGCTACTGGGAGCGACTGGGAGCGACTGGGAGCTACTGGGAGCAACTGGGAGCAACTGGGAGCTACTGGGAGCTACTGGGAGCAACTGGGAGCTACTGGGAGCTACTGGGAGCTACTGGAGCTACTGGGAGCTACTGGGCCACTGGGAGCTACTGGAGCCACTGGGAGCGACTGGAGCTACTGGGAGCTACTGGGAGCTACTGGAGCTACTGGGAGCCAGTGGAGCTACTGGGAGCCAGTGGAGCTACTGGAGCGGCGCCATGGATGGAAGGAAGCCCAGTCCTGATGATCCTCTCCAGTCAGAGTGTTCGATGCTCTGAACAGACGGAGTTGCTGCTGGTCACTTTGCTCTTTGTCGTCTCTCTGTAGAAAGCGATGAGGATCGGAGGTTTGATCTTCTCATCCAACAAGCTTTTCTTCACCAGGCCAGAGGTCTGGAGGGTCAAAGGGTCAGTGATCCCCAGGGATTTAATGCTCCCGACCCGCTTGCTCTGTTCATGTGTTGCTTTTTTGGAGCCTTTCTTTGCACATCCTCCAAATTTAGAACGAATTTAGAATCCAGAAAAATAACCTTCCAGGACAGAAACACTTAGTTTTTATTATTAATAAAAAACTGTGGACACAAATTTAGAGCATAGTTATAAAGTTCAGAGGACATTTACTTATTTACTGCAGCAACCCTGAACAGGAGCTCCTAGTTTGCATACTTTAGATTAGATTATTTTCCTTCTTTTGCTCTTTCCTCTGGTTTATTTTGTTTGTATTTCCTTTTCATTCCTGCACTGCTAGTTGCTGAAAATGTGCTGAATAAATATTCCCTCCGCTGCTGAGGAGCCGTGTGACTTGGAGCGGCAGGCAAGCTGCAGCGCATCAAAACAGGTTTGATGTTGTGATGCTTCACCAGCCTCTCCAAACTCGGCAGTGAGGGCGACATGGTGGCAGTGAGGGCGACATGGTGGCAGTGAGGGCGACATGGTGGCAGTGAGGGCGACATGGCTGCAGGGCGACGTCGCTCAGTGATGAAACAGTGTTTTTTGGGCCTGGAATAATGATGGCCGTCTCAAAGCAGGATGGACGGCAGCTCAGCTCAGTGAGGAGTTAAATAAATCGCTGAGGATGAGAGCCGGCTTCAGAACCTGACCCGGTATCAGGTCCTGCTGCTCTATGCATGTTGAGTCTCCTCACGGTCCTCTGAACATCAGCTGTCAGATTATCTGTTCCTCCAGAGGAAGAGAGGATTTTCTCACAGGGCTTTAAAACGGCTGAAGCAGAAGCTCAGTGCGTCCAGAAATGTGTGGCGTCGTCGCAGGACAGAGGAGCCTGTGACGGTCCTGATGCTTTGCCACATGAGCTTCACAACCAGACCAACGAGGAAAGAGTTCCTTTGAGGAACTGCTGAGGTGCCAAAAGGCCGACATCCACTGTACAGCAATAAAAATAATGAGACAACTTCAATAAATCTGACTGACGTTCTTCACTCCAACCTTTAAAGAAACAAGCAGGTATGTAAAATGTAAAACCAGTCAGTGAGTCACTGTGGAAACCAGCTGTGAACCAGAACCTGAGTAACAGGTGAGGCTCCTCAGAGGTCATGATGTCAGAGGTCAGAAATGAGGAAGAATGAGGTCATTGTTGCTTACATGGAGTTATGATTTAAAAACTGATCAGTTCTAGAACAAAATCCCAGTTTAAAAGTCAACATTTCACCCAGAAGATCAGCTTTGAAAACCACAACTACCTGTAAGTGACCTTTACCTTTATGAAAGCCTTGAACAAACCTCATTTCTTCATCCGATACCAGGCACGGCCGGGGGGAGACTTTTAGCTCCTGAATGAGTCTCGGGTCAAAGGTCAAAGTCTTAAATAGCAAGTCACCTGGAAATGTTCTGGTACCAGATTGGAAATGAGAAAAAAAGCAGCAACAGGCCCAAACTGAGACTTCAGGTGGATTCACCCCAGCGCTGTTTAACCCGCTTTAGTCCAACTCCAAACCTCGGGTCTGGGTTCTGGAGTCGCCTCTGGTGGTTCGATGTGAACGCCAAGCGGACTGGAGACCGCTCCAAAGCAGGAAGCGAACTATAGCACAGAGCATTCTGGGTAAATACAACCAAAAAAACACGCTAGGCTAGTGCTAGCGGGAGAAACGGATCCAGAGACAAAGAGAAATCCGCTAAAATCTGATGCTGCTCCATTTTTGTTTCCCTTTGGTGAAGAGGGAAGTTGCATTCAGTGTCTTCCTCAGAGGATTTTGTGTCATTTCCTCTGGTTTTGGTGCAGCGCCCCCAGAGGTGAGGCAGGGAACAAGTTTTTCAAACGGTTTAATTATTAAATGTGAAAGAGAACAGTTTTTCCAATTAACTAGGATCATTTCACACAAGAGTTGAAACTTTGGTCCCAATTGAACCGGGCCTACCGGGTCATCAGATGTGAAAAAGGCTCACAACCCAGGAGAACCTTGGACTCCTGAATCAGAGGTTTGGTGCAGTGATCGTTTTGCTTTTAGGGTTGTTGGAGAAATGGCCCAAACTCGTTTGTACCGGTTGCTTCCTCGCCGGGTCTCGGCCGCCCAGACCAGGATGGACAGCCTGGTGCCGGTTCTGTGGGACCGGATGTTCCCCAGGCTGCTTTTTGGGCCCAACCACAAGTTGGAGCGAATCTTTGGTGGCATGCTGCACCACCCGGAGCGCTCCGCCATGCAGATCTGCCCCTACTATTTCGACCAGGTGACCTGGAGGCTCCCAGCCGCGTCGCCCTGGTTGGTGGTCCGCTCACACCGACGTCACGTCCGCCGGGTTTGTCTCTGTGTGATCAAACTTCCCTCCTGGCTTTAAGGCAGAACAACCTGGAGCTGCTGCTTCGACTCCTGGGGCGACGTGCAGAAGGAGAAGCAGCGGAGCGCGGAGCAGCAGCAGGGCGGAGGCAGCCAGCCGGGGAGCCGGCCCGACGCCGGGGTCTACCTGAGCCGGCTCTGCCAGCTGCAGGACCTGCAGACCGGAGGCAGCATGACCACGCAGATGTTCATCCACCTGATGTACGACTACAGCGACTGACGCCTCATTAAAACACGCCTTATTTTTAAAAACGTGAACGTTGGAGGTGTGAAAACATGATTAAGTTTACGCAGCCAGGAGGAGAAGAACTGCAGAGGATGACCTTCAGGGTCAGCACAAGGTCACGGCAGAAATATGGAGAACTGTCAAAAATGAACAGCAATAATTTGAGTTACTCAGCCTGATATACTTTACCAAAATAAATATTTAGTTAACAAGCTAACTGTTTAGCGAGCAAGCTAGAAATCTAACTTAAAGCAAAAATATTTCACTCCAAACTTTAATTAACAAATGAAACATTTAACTTCAAACTAATGAGTGAGCAAAACTAAATATTGAGTTAAGAAGCTAAATATTTAACTTCAAACTGAATATTTAGCTGCAAACTAAATTTTAGTTAGCAAACTTTAAATATTTCACTCCAAACCAAACAGACTTTGAATTTAAAAGCTAAGCATCTAAATTCAAACTGAATTTTTAGTTAGCAAGCTAATGCTAAGGTTGCTAACTAGATATTTACTTAAACTCCATATTTAGCTTCAAAGTAGGTAATAGGCTAAATATATATTTTTTGTACTTGCTTTATTTTGCCCAACAATTTGCTATAATATTTTTTGGTCTTCTTATTATCCAGTCAAATTATTGCAAAATGTTTTAAAAACATTCTGAACAGAAATTTCTTTATCCTGTTTGTCATCCAGAGTTTAATATTTTTTTACCTTCAGGTTTGGTCAGATTTCAGTTCTTATGAAACGTCAGTAAATCTGTTTTATCATGTTTCCATGTAATCTTTATGAACTTCATTCCATCTGCTTGCTGATGTCAGCTGATCTATTCATTATTGATCTATTTATCAGACCTTGTTTCATAGATTAATTTTCATAATTGATAAATATGGGAAGATGATCCCATTAGTCAATAAAATTCCACCTAATGATATTCTGTCATCATTCCTAGAGTTGATGATTTCAATAATTAATTTTTGTTGAGATTCTAGTTTAGCTAGCATGCTAACTATTTAGCCTGAAGCTGCTTATTTAATTTAAAACTAATATTTTTTAGACAAAATCCTTCAAGATAAATATTTTACTGCACGGCTAAATGTTCATGGGATAAAGACGAGGATTTAGTCTAACGAAATATTTAACTCCATTCCAAGCGTCACGCTCAGAGAAATAAAAAACTAAACTCCAGTTTTTATAAAAACTTCTTTTTTTAATGAAAGTCCTGATTATTTTTTAAGCTTTAATGAAAATGGCAGAATTTCTTATAAAGTATTGATAATAACATGG